TGGGGGGGGGGGGGGGGGGAGACAGTGGGTAGATAAGTTTCAAAGGGATAGCCAAGGCAGTCTGTAACAGGAAAAATTTAAAAAAACAACCAATAATCTATTAGCACCTTAAAGACTAAATAATAAAAAAGAGGCTGATAAGAACCAGTAATATACACTAGGAAAGGAAGGGTATTAATACCAGATTCTACACAGACATCAAGAACCATTGGCACCTTCATCGTTCGGTTGGTTTATCTACCCGCCTCATACTCCCTCTTGAGGTTCCCCTGGAGCCTCCGGTGCGTGCGGCTTTCCCGGGGTCAGGCGGCTGGCTCGGGTGGTGTCGATCACCCCACAGTCACGGCTGGTCGAGCTGGGGACAATAAAGAAGGATGGTCAGTCATCCCTGGAGACACTGTCCCTGCAGCCTTGCCTTCATCTTGTGAGCTGAGAGCAACAGTTCTCGAGTCACAGGACGGTGATGTCCTGGGAGCAAGGCTATGTGTGGCCTGGACAGTGGGCCCTGCCTTACAGAGGTGCAGGGGTCCCCAGGGGACCATGCTTCCCACCTCACCCCATGTCCCACAGACAAGCAGGCAAGGGAAATGGCTGGCCAAACTGGATCCAATGGCCAGGAGAGAGACCTCAAGCTGCCTGGGCTTCCACCTCTGCTGCACACACACTGGCACCTGGCAGCACTGTCCCAGGGAGCAGGTGTTGCCTTGAGCATGCATGCCCGTATGGGGCACTCCAGAGTGTGTGTGAGTGCCTGCGTGTGCCCTTGTCCCCAGCCTCTTTCCAGCAGTGGCTGGTGGTGGGAGGGCACCGCCACCCCAGGGGGTCAGACGTGTGGGCGGCCTCCCCAGAGCCTGCGAGCAGGAGTCCAGGGATGCTCCAGTGTTGCCTCCTGGGGCTGCGTGGCGCAGACTGGTGCTGCACGTGCATCCACATGCACGGACTGCAGCGCGAGGGCCAGGCCAAGAGAGGATTGCACTCCCGCCCTGTGAGAGAGAGAAAACTGAGACCACTCACCTGATGATCCTTCCCCTGCCTTGGAGGATGCCTGGGACACATCCAGGCTATGGAGTACTGGCTCCAAAGGAAGTGTGGTCACGGTGCTCACCGTGGCCACCTCCCCGTCCTCCTCCTCGTGGGCTGGGACTCCCGGGCAGGCTAGGAAGGGTGTTTCTAGTCCCGAGTCCACCACTAAGGGGTAGCAAAGGGGCTGACCCCTCCCCCCCAGGATGCGTCATAATAGGGGCAGGAGTGGGGTCCTGCCCCAGAACATGAGCTATGCTCCCTTACCCTGGCATAGGCCTCGCAGAGCTCCTTCGCTTTACTACGAACCTGCTCCAGGTTTCTAATGTGGCCCGGCTCTTGGCCATCTGGCCGTATATATCGGTGTTGTCCCATCTGGAGCAGTGATCTTGGAAGTTCTCCTCCTTTCCCCACACTTCCAGGCGGGCCAGGATCTCCACCCCAGACCAGGATGGTGTACACCTTTTGCAGCCCCTGGCAGGCTCCTGGGAGCCCTCTGCATGATCACTGTGATGGGCAGGAGATTTTTGGGGAGCTTTTGGCTTGGACATGGTGCCCAGATATGTGGTACTGTGAGCTGCGCTATGGCTGGGGGCTTTGAGGGCCGGCTTCCTGCCATAAGTCCTGTCCCCTGTGTCTGCAGCTCCAAGGGAATACATACTATAGCATTCTGATGAATGTGGATGGAGAGGCCAGGAGGGCACCTGTGGGATTTCCTGAAGGCCTCTTTCTTTGACAAAACTCCCTATTCCGCATCCACATACATCCTCTTCCATACGTTTTTTCGGAAGAGGCCTTATTCCTTGTGGAAGGAGGTTTACCGGCGTCCGAAGGAGCTGTCCGTTATTTCAACATTCTTTCAAAATCACGCAACTGCAGTGTGGATGCTAGTATTGTTTTTCCAGAATAACAGCTGTTATTCCAGAAAAATGGTGTCATGTAGATGCACCCTAGGACACCAGCTTAGATGTACCTCAGGTGTTTTATCAGGTGTCTGTTCTTTGGTAGTCTACCCAAAATGAATTTGTGGCCTCAGATTTGCTATTTGTGGAGAAAAGACCACTTTGTAAAAAGAGTCTGCCAAAATCTCTAGCCTTCTTTTGAGACACATATGGAAACAGACACCAAACTACCCCTGGTTCAGAGGCCAGAGCAGTAATTCTTTCTGGAGAGCCAGAGATGCGCCTGATGCTTTGCAGGTGGATATAAACATTACATCCCTGCCCTATCAGAGTTATCTCAAATAAAGACAAAAAGACACCAGTCACGGAAGTCAGAGAGAGGGAGGATAATTTAGACTACAGAAGAGAAGAGGGGGGTGGGATTTGATAGCAGCTTTTAATTACCAAGTGTCCAAAAGGATGGAGAAAGGCTCTTCTCAGTGGCGACAGACAACAGAACAAGGAGCAATGGGCTCAAGTTACAGTGGGGAAGGTCTAGGTTGGATATTAGGAAAAACTATTTCACTAGGAGGGTGGCGAAGTACTGGAATGGGTTACCTAGAGAGGTGGTGGAATCTCCATCCCTAGAGATTTTTAACTCCCTGTTTGACAAAGTCCTGGCTGGAACGATTTAGTGAAGGATGGTCCTGCTTTGGACAGGGGGTTGGACTTGATGACCTCCTGAGGTCTCTTCCAAACCTCTGATTCAATGAAAGATGAGGAAAAGGACATTCCCCCTTCTCCAATACATTGGTTCCTCCAGATCAAAATTGAGGCAAGTTGACAGAAGGAATTTACAGTGAAATTGACAGTTCCATAGCTAGAGAGAGCGACTTTGTTCAGTATTGCGAGGGTGATACCCGTCAGGAGCTGCAAATTCATGTGTCAGGGTATTTATTATTCAACTTAGGGGTTAGATCACAACCAATCTGATGCCCACTTCTTTCTTTTTTCATTTGATTTCTCTCCAGAGAGAGAGAGACTTCCCTCTTCATGACATTACCACCCTGCCAGATCACTAGTTTTCCCCTTCAAAGTTATCTGCAGATATCAGTGGAACATTTTTGCAAATATGGATGTGGATATGGATACAAATTTTGTATCCGCACAGGGCTCTACCCATGTATTCGCACGTCCATAGAGGTAGTATTGGATGTGGCTGACAAGACATATTGTGGGCCACAGATATGGCCCATGAGAGTAAATAGGTTGAGAACCACTGATCTATACTCACTTTTTTCTGCCATATAGCATGGATTTTAACAGCAAAGTAGATAACCCTGTTCTGACCAAGATTCAAAACTTGGAGAAAATGTCTTTAATGAATACTACCACTGTTGTATTGTACTGTAGCAAAATACACTATTTGAGTGGATTTAGTTTTAAGGGAAGCATAAAACTTATAAGCAAAGTATCTATGATGCAGTCTTGTACTTTCTAAAACCAGTATACTGAGATTCTTCATGTGGTTGAGATGTAGGTTCATGTGTGTAAGAAATAAGCTATTTTTATGTACAGTTTGCTATTGATTAGCCACACATATGCTAGGTCAGCAATCCAAGACAATCTCATTTCTGCATGCGTCTCTGACTTGCTAGACACTGATGTCTTAGAAAGAATTATTACATGCTTCCAAAGCAAAGATTGCTTAAGAATTCTTTAACCAGCTCTGTGATCAATGGTATTTTAACAGTCCCAAAAGAGCTGCTTTAAACATTTTTTAATAAAATCTGTGCTTATGAAATCATAGATAATAATGGCTATGAGAAGGCATTAAGGTCATCTGATACCATTCATCTAGTTACTGGACACAAATATGAACTTTTTTTGGTCAGCAAGTCATTCAAGAGAGCAGATAAAGACAATGCAGTTTGCGGTTAACTCTCTCCAACTGCTTGTTCAATTGGGGCCATTTTTCCGAAAAAAAATTCACTCATGTCCACACTGCAATTGTGTTCTTTCGGAAAAAAAATATCAAAAGAACAGAGATTTTTTCCGACATTGGTAAACCTCTTTCTATGAGGAAGAAGCCTTTTTCCAAAAGAACTCTTTCAGAAAAAGGCATGTGTGAACAGGGAAGAGGGAGTTCTTTTGAAAGAAGAGGAAAGAGAGGAAAGCACAGGCGCCCTTGGGGGCCACTCCGTCCATAGTAATCACAGCTTAAATGAGAGAGAACGTCCATTCAGTGTGGACGCTATCTTTTGAAAAAGCAGATCACTTTTTCAATGTGCTTTGGAAGTGTAAAACAAACAAGAAAAAAGTTGTGTAGCACTTTAAAGACGAACAAGATGGTTTGCCCCACAAAAGCCCCTAATAAACCATCTTGTTAGTCTTTAAAGTGCTACACGACTATTTTTGTTTTGTTTTATTTTACCAAGCTCAGACTAACATGACTATTTCTGTTACTTTTGGGGGTGTGGACGCTCTCTTTTGGAAGAAGTTTTTTCAGAAGATCTCTTCTGGAAAAGCTTCTTCTGAAAGAAACCTGCAGTCTAGACATAGTCTTAGAAAATCAAGCCACTCCACTGCAAGGGTAGAACAGTACACTTCCAGTACATGCTAGATATTATTCAGAATCTCAGATTTTTTCCTGTTGAGATAGTAAGTGCTGTTATCTGTCAACTTTATTCAATAGTTGATACAATAGGAATTCTCCAGTATAAAATGTGAAGGCTGACAACCAAAGGATTTTGTTTTCATTTAGCCTCCCAGAATGTTAAAAAAAGCTTGTTGATAAATCCTAACTAAGTGCTATTGCCAAGAAACCATTTTATAACCCTAGATTGACTGAGGTAGATGTATGTTACATTGTTTGTGATTCTCTCCAAGCCCTATGCCTCACAGTAAGAATGTTTGAGACACAAGGAGATGGAGGTAATATCTTTTATTGAACCAATTTCTATTGATGAGAGACAAGTTTTTGAGTGTACACAAAGCTATAGATATGAAGAGCTCTGCATACATTTGATGGCTTATCTCTCTCATCAACAGAAGTTGGTCTGATATAAAATACTACCTTGCCCACATTGTCTTTCTAATATCTGGCTAAAACAACACCACTGCATACAATAATCATACTTGGCATTTAACACCTTCAAAATGCTGCATCCCTTAACTAATCCTCACCACACTTCTTGTTAGGGATGTCAAGCTGTAGTTGACTACATGATTAACCGATAAGCCCGGGGTTGTCGGTTAATCCTATCAACTACTGTTTCAGAGGCAGCAAGGGAGGGGGGAGCCGCTGCCTATGGGGAGCCTCTGTATAGCCAGATCCCATGGAGCCCACAAGCAGTATTCTACCCACAAGCAGTATTCTATTAATACTAAGGATGTTAAATATTGATTAATTGAATAGTCAAGTAAACTCATTAATTCTTATTGATGACTAGACTATTCTATATTCCTGGGGGTGGAGCTGGAAGCCAGTGAAATCCAGCCCCACTCCTAAGGAGCACCCTACTTCTGTAGCAAAGACTGCTGCCTCTGTAGCAGAGGCAGCAGCAAGGGATGCCAGGCAGGAGCTGGTCTGCAAGGGAAGCCAGTTTAAAAAACAGCTCCCCTCATGGATCAGTTGTCTGTCACTCTCTGCTGCTGCCTCTGATACAGGGGTGGTTCTGAGCTCCTGGACCCGGCATGAGCTGGAATTGAGTCAGGCTGCCTGCCTGCCTACCTCCTAATACACTTCAAATGCAGAGCTGCAGTGGGGGTAGGTCCCAATCCCGTCACAAGCTAGGACTGAGACAGGCTGCTGGTCAGCCTACTAAAAAATTTACTGGCCTGGGGTGGAGGGGGTGAGGGTGGAGGAGGTGGGGAAATGAGTGTAGTCTATAGCATTAACCTACAAGCTTTTGCTTAACGGTTAATCGACTACACTATTGCATCCCTAATTATTACCAAGATATCTTCTGACAATGTAACAGATCTATACACCCGGAACTCTGGCTTGTAACCCAAATACTATGCAAATGTCTCTGAATTATTACATATTAAATTTGTATTGCATAGCTTCAGAGACTCATGGAAAAAGCTTTATTATTATGCTTTCAGAGCAATATATTGTATATGGCAAATTCAAAAAAACTATTTTGGAAATTAAAAAATAGAAATTAAATCCTTAAAAGAGATCGATGTGGGGAGACCAAAAAAGCTGCACACTTTTGGTATGCCAGAAGATTTATAAAGGTCCTTAAAAGTCATTGTACAAGAAATTCATTCTAATAGCTTTGGATGCTCAATCCTTGTAATAGTCCAGTCTGGCTTCACTCCTTGTGTAAATTCCCTTCGGAACCTAGGAAAAGCAGCACAAATAAGAGTTATTAAAACTCACATAATCTTTTAAAGAGCTGCTAATGCTACCGAAAAAACTTGAAAAACATTTTCCTATATCATTTTCTCAATCTTTTCCCACATCCTTTGATCTTAGGAAAGCCAGATCTTTTATAAGAACTCATTAGAGATTACTGCTTATTCCTCAAATTGAGGATTGTGACACCAAAACTATTTCTACAAGATACTGACCCAAAGCTTACTAATGTCAATTGGAATTTTTCTTCTGACTTTAGTGGGCTTTGGCTTAGGCCACAAGTGAGTGATAAAACAATTAAGAGCAGAAATCTTAAGTATCCTGTTTGCATGCTAATACCCTTAAAATCAGAGAAAGCAATCCATATGAAAATTCATTTCTAAATGAAGGGTCCCATTTTTCCATTAGGCATCAGAAAATCAATATAGTAAGAGAGATACTTGTTTTAAGCATTAAAAAAAAAATCACTGAATAATATGTAGTAGCTTTTTTAGATATTAGACCAGATATATGAACAAATCCTGTACCAGAGTCTAGCTATACATTTGAGTTCTACAGTTGTTTGAAAGAATATTAACAGCTACCCCACATTTTAAAACCTTCTCCTTTTAGAGCTGGAACCTGCTTTTCCAAGTCTGTAATGGTTTATGAATTTTAAATACAATCTTTAGTTTCTAGCGTGTTAACACAGCATTTGTGTGCCCAAGTCACCAACAGAACAGCAAGGACAGCCACAGTGTAATCCACATTGTTTTGTAAGAGTGTTCCAAATCTGGCTCAGGCAGAACTATCCTTAGACATCTAGCTACTATAGCGATGAGTGTTTTTTAAAATGATCTGAAGTCCTTTATGCCAGACAAGAGTGCCAGTTCAGATGATTTATTACCATGGTGTCCAACCACTTCTGAAGCAGTAGCCACTATAGTGCTTATGAGTTCTCAGTTCACTATAGAGGCTACTACTTAGGGAACTAGCAACACTCAACCAGCCAAATAGACACATGCGGCTAGTGGCTAGCATGATGGATGCCACAGGTTTATTAGGACACCTGGCCACTAGGAACTGAGACAACTCACAAGCTTCCTGCAAGGAATTAGCACCCTCAAAGAAAGCAGACAA